GTGCTCCACGATCGAGATGGTGGCCAGATGTGGAAGTTACTGGCGAAAAATCGTGACTGCGCTCGCGGTTTTGGATGGGAATTGGGGTTGTTTCCTGTGGTCGATGGGAAGGCGATGGTCGGAGGTTGTAGAGGGATGTGAGGGAGTGCTGGTGTTGTGGGGGTTTGGCGGCTTAGGTGGCGGGTGGTGGAAGTCATTGATGGAAGGAGGAGTGAAACCGTAGCTGAGGAAGAAAATTAGGGAAATTGAAGAGAGACTCGTTTTCCGCGTTTTTGAATTTTGTGAAGGAAACGCCCAAAACGTCTAAAAAGACGTTTTGGGTTTTCAGTTGATTATTATTTTTTTGTTTTCAAAAATTCATTTTTGAAAACGGGAAAGAGAACGCGTTTTCACTGTTTTGAAAAATCGAAAATAGGAAACGGTCCGAAAATAGCAAAGAGAACAGGGCCTTAATTTTGGTCAAACTTTTGGGCTTATACCATGCAACGAAATCAAGATTTAAAAAAATATAATAATAATAATTGTTAACTTGATCATGACACTTAATGATATTACGTAGGATTAAGTCAATTATTTGTTAACTGAGTCATCTACTATAAAAAAAAAAATTACTGAAAATTTTGTGACCATTCACATAATTAACCCTGTAATTTTATATATTTCTTTATTATAATCTTTAAATTGTTTTTCGGGTTGTCGTTCCTCAACCCAAACTAGTCGAAGTGTCAATGCCAACTTTCTCATTAGAGCCCAAACTCAAGCTCAATAGACCTATTAAAGAGAGCTACCTCCTAGATGGCGAAAGTTCAGTAGCCGAAAGCATCACAAGTTTATGCTCTAATCCGAGTAGCCTGGGATACGTGGAATTAGTGTGTTTACTATTTGGTTTAATTTCTTTTCAAAGGAAAATAATATTTAACAAAATAATTCATAAACAGTTAAACATCGTAATATCATTTATTATCACACAACTTTCTTGCGACATTTCTCCAAAGCAGATGTAAAGTAAATGAATTTGACAATGAAATGAATATGGAGGAACCCTGTGAAACCTATTTGACGAGGATGCCTTTCACAATCAACGACAACGCTGCCATAAAATGGCACGCATAATAGATCAAGATCAAGAGGGAAGTTCGTTGACTAAGTCATGAAGTCTTCTTTCCAAAACTTCAGAACAAATCTGGCCCATCATGTGGTAGAAAGACATTAGATCAGATAATTGTTCCACAGACATTTTCCCCATCACATTCCTTGCTACCTTCTCTCTTTCTTCATTCAATTTCAGTTTTTTTATGTAAGAAGATGAATTCCTTACAGTTGCACCCATCTGCTTCAACCTTGTTTCTTGTTGCAGGCTTAATGCCGTGTTCGACTGCAGACAACGATGGCTCCTTTAGGACGGTGGATTGCACCATATTCAGCAGTATTAAAAAAGAATAAGCAGCTAAAATCTTGTTTACAGTACTTTTCACTCCTACCCAATATCGACTTGCACTTCAGCCTTCATTCTTATACTTGTATCTTAGTGACTGGAAACCAAGAAATTGTATTATGTATAAGCTGCTAGATCAAAATGAGCATAACCAAATCAAGTTTTTTAGGCTGCTTGAATTCAGTTTGGCATCATAAAAATGCCTAAAAGAATTTTGAGGCTGGAAATTTTCGTCATTCAAGCAGAGTAAACAAACTTTTAGCGAGCTTAATTCAATCTCAACTTCAGTAGTTTGATGAATTATTGGATCTATATTGCATTTCGTACTAGATGGCCAACCGGGCTGAGCTTTCGACTAGCTCTAAACTATTTTGGTTCATGTTGCCATTATGATGAAAATGAATTTGAGATTCTGTACGAGTATAGTTCAAATAGTACCTCAAGAAATTCTGCTCCAGCCTCGAGTTCAGATTCTTTAGATGAATTTATCCCATGTTCGTATATGTTTCTTGCAATCGAAAAGCTTCGTACTATAATTTTTCTCTTCTTCTCCATTTCTTGATCAAGCTTTAGAGATTTTTTCATATTTGTTAACCCATTCTGCTTCTTCTGACAGGCAATGACTGCCTTAGCAAACTCCTGCAACATTTCCATGAAATTAAGAATATGTCAACAACCTAGTATTAGACACGATTAGACAGTACAATAACTCAAAATTAGTTTAAGTTTATTTCTTCACTTAAGATATTGAGTACTGTCCAATCCAACTTACCTTATATGCAAATGGGCAACCGAGGTAGTCGAATTCATCAGAATCCGCTTTCCTCATCCTTTCAGGATGAAATTGAAGTCCCATAATGAATTTACCCTCTTCAGGATTATAAGCATCTGGATCATAAAACCCTTCAATCAAACCATCTGGTGCAAATGCCATAGGCACAAGTCTTTGAGCCAACCTCTTAACCCCTTGATGATGATAACTATTCACCAAAATCTCCATTTTCTCATCCTCCAAAGAATCCTTAAACCATTGATGCAATGGGGTGTTCTCAACTACCTTAACCGAATGACGGTGCCCATCGTAATTATCGTAATCCATATGCACAACTCTCTCATTTAAGGGCAACTTATTTGCCAGTTCTTTACCAATATCTTGATAAAGGGTACCCCCACAAGCCACATTAAGGACTTGTGAACCCCTGCATATGCCTAAATAGGGTATGTTCCTTTCTAAACAAAGCTTTGCTAGCCTCATTTCAATTGTGTCCTTTTCTTTGTCTATTGCTGTGTCACTTGCATGAAGTCTCCTAATTTCTTCCAATTCTTCTGCTGATAAATTCGACATCTCGGCTTCGTATAGAGATGGATCTATGTCTTCTCCTTCACAGAGAAGGACACCGTGAATCGGCTCGAAACTGTCTAACAACATGTGGACCCCAGTTACTCGGGGAACGATCACCGGTACCGCCCCATAACTCACTATAAGATCAAGATGGTATTCTCCTGTTTAATACCAATAAAAATCAGTTCAAAGATTGTACAAATTTTATTTAAATTAATAAATTTCTGTGGTATTTCGAATAAAATAGGAACATGCAGACGGCAGACCAATCACAGTCTATTAATGAAAATATACACCATTACACCTTTGACGAAAAAATAAATCGAATTTATTCGTTTGATTCGCATAAAAGGGTGTGGTGTTTCTGAAGACAAATTTAAATTTAATCTTGCCCAATTCGTCCAAGTGAATGCCCAGTCTGATATATATACATACATATACATATATAAAAAGAGAATACGCAAGAATTTGCATACCCACAAAATCCACGAACTTGTTCTTGCGGACGCATCGTCTGGAGACGATTAGAACACGAGGTAGAATCACCGCCAGATCAGTGGCCATCACAATTAGTCAACAATTTTTTTAAAAAAAAAAAATTCTAAACAGAAGATTAAAATCTGATCAAGAAAATAAGAGGAAAAAACAACCCAAATTCTAAACAGGAGATGAAAATCTGATCAAGAAAATAAGAGAAAAAAACAACCCAAATTCAATTTCTCTTTCTCGGGTTTTGATTTACAAAGTTGAGAGCTTTTAGTGGAGAGCAAGAGAGAGAGCGCGATTTCGAGGCACTGCGTATATGAATATATAACACAATTTTAGGGTTAATTAAGGTTGAGATTAACACGTGTAGGATGGCTATCTAGGACGGGTCAAATCTGAGGTGGCACAGATGAGATTTGCTAAATTGGTGGAGGCCTTATCCAGTGCAGTGCCTTCCCCACAGACTACCATTACCATCTACTTATTTGCATGCATGCTTTCATTTATTTTCTTTATAGAGAGGGAGGTTGCCTTTTGCCTCTTTTGGGTATTTGTTTATTTAGGGGGGAAGAACTAATCTCAACCCTACACTAAATGGGGATGATTAAAATAAGAAGAAATTATCATGTTGATTTTTTAATAGATAAATTTCTTTGTAACTTGATAAGTAACACGGTCTTTGGACAACGGGATAATTTATAATTAATCTGTTATATTTTGATGCGTCGAACAATAAATAAGGAAATCCATAGCCACCTAAATTGATGGTAATCATGAATAGTATTATTCTATTTGTTTTGGTGCAATCCTTTTGTAATTAAACTTATAATTTGCCATGGCAACTATATTTGTTCTCTAGTTTGAAAACTACATCTATCAAGTTGATTGAGTATATTTTTTAGAATATACTATCAAACTACTATTCATATGTTGATATCTAATTCAATTGAACCATATGTTGACCTTAAAAAGCAAAAAAAATAAAAAATAAAATAAAAAAAGAGGAAATGAAAGAAAATAAAAGAAAAATTCTAAAGCCAACTATAGTGTTCTTTGTCGATAATTTGGTAGTATTTTTCCCTATTGGGACGATTTTGGTTTTGTTTTTGAGCAAGTTGTTGGTATAAAAGAAGAAAGATGAAGTTTTCGGTTTTATTTTGGTCGAAAATTATCATTTGATCGAAGTACTTTTGAATTTTTAAGAGGGCTAATTCTTAGTTTATCTTGATCCGAGACAATTTTTTTTAAAGGGTGGAAGATTGAATTTCAAATTTTAGAGAGAGATTGCCTATTTACCTCTTTTACATTTTTTTTT